GGGCAATGAGAGTCTTTCTCCAAGGAAAGAAAGATGGTCATTTGGCTGAGGATCATGGTAAATACGCAGCAGTCTACACTCATATGGAAAATCTTGCAGCAACATCACCAAATGCAGACATTGCTGGTAGAGCTAAGAAAATAAACAAGTAATTGAAGGATCTTTTATTCACTGCATTTTGCCATTTCGTATCCGATCTATTTGGCGAGCTAGCTTTGCCCAGTCTAAAACTACAGCAGACAAACAATCTGATTCTTCCTGTAGCAGTTGCATCAATTACGGATTGTATGGAAACTGTTTCAAGTATGAAGGAGGAATACATTCCTGGGGGAATGTATGAAAAGTTTATCCTGTGTATTAAAGAACAACAGTCTGAAAATTTGCAGGGTAATCCCAAATTTAAAGGAGTTGAAATGACCGGGAGTCCTGTTTATGAGGCCAAAGAAAAACTAAAGAATCATGTTGAGTCTACAGTTGCCATTACAATCAAAGAACTAGAGTTTCAAAATCTGTTGGGAACAAATACAAGTGTAGATCCTCAAGGTGTGGTGAAAAGTTTCATTAAGGTGTTCAATCATGACACATGGCCAGAATGCAAAAGGGAACTTGTCCATTTTCGAAATCATGAAATAGACATTATTTGTGACTGGTTTCGAAAACCTCTTGTGGCTGCAGGATTCAATATGGAAGTTGTTCAGACGGAATGGAGACACATGAAATTCTTTGTTGTAAATACTTTCAGGGACAAGTTTTATTATGATCTGTGGCAAATCCTACTGACCAAGGACCCATACAAGACTGACTTCTGCAATGTACTTCATCTTGTGAGAATAATGCTCACTCTTCCAATCAGCTCCGCAGAGTGTGAGAGAGCCTTTTCTTTACAGAAGAGAATAAAGAGCGACATACGAAGCAGCTTGTCTGTACAGAGACTGTCACACTTAATCTTGCTTTCTTCTGAAGGTTCAGATCTGGCTAAATTCAACCCAGAGAAATCCATTGACAAGTGGATGGCAAACAGCAGGAGAAGGGTTGCTGGCGGGGGGGGGGCAGGACAGTGTGACTGTCCAGCTAACATATACATAGAAAGTATAAGGACAAAGCAATACTGTTTGAAAACAAAAATATTTAGTGTCACAAGCTATTGATTTGACAATTCAAATTGAGCAAGTGTTAAAGTGGGACTGGAAATTAGAATAAAAAGGTAAATGCAATTCAGTATTGGGCAAACGGAGTTATAAAATTTAAAAAGATAAAATTTCAGTTTGAAACAGATAGAAATAAGTTCAATGTCAATAACACAAAGACACAGTATGTGTTTGCCAGACCATCTGGACATTTCCCTTTCCAGTCCCACTTTAAGATCTTAGATCAGCATTACTATAGTTAATATTGTTAATATTTCTGAGTGACATTTACCAACCTGATAGTTAAAAACCTGTTGCTAAGAGTATTACAATAACTGCAAATCATGACTGAATATTTCTAAATGACACCTTTGCCAGATAAAAGTTGAAGTTAATGTAATGTCTTTATGAGGTTATTGTTGTTGTTTCAAGTTTAATATTGAAACTGAAGCGATCTTCAAACTTGCGTTTGTCAGTTGACTGAATTATCCTGAGTGATATTTGCCAGGTAACTGTAAACAGTTCTACAGTTTCTAGACTCGATATAATGTATTCATGATCTTTTTGTTTGAGGTTGTTGTTATGATCTTTTTGTTTGAGGTTGTTTAGTAACATTGAAACTGATGAGATCTTGACAACTTCAAATTTGCATTTTAATTTTGTCAGTAAGTTTACTGAATATTTCTAAATGACACCATTCAAAGTTTGCCAGGTAACAATTGAAGTGAATGTAATGTTTTTTATGAGGTTGCTGTTTCAAGTATAGTAACTAATGTTGAAACTGATGTGATTTCAAACATGTATTTGTCAGTTGACTGAATTATTCTAAGTGATATTTGCCAGATAACAGTACCACTGAATGTAATTGGTCTTGAAATTTATAAAGTTCCTCCCATAAATTTCGTCTGTATTGTCTTAGAGAATTAGAAAATAAAACAAAACTTCACCTAGAATTGTTTTATTTCTAACGTAATAACCCTGCCTGTTGCAGTTCTGTCCTGTCTCCGCTGTGGTTCTGGCCGAAAAAGAAATCCACCCGATCTTCCTCCGGTGAACTGAAGGAACCACCACTATTCGCTACGTTGTGAATTCTTGATCCGAACAGCAGTGTATCGATCTCCCCAGAACGATCCGGTGGGAAGGGGAGAAAATGGCTGGGTATTTCGCTGAAAGGAAATCACTATTCATGCAGAAAAAGTTCTTTGTCGTAGCCGCAAACACATGAAAAAGAAAAAAAATAAGCAACTCCTGATCCTGTACAAATTTAGGCCATTTTATATTTTTTATGTCTCTACCGAAGAATTTACACGAGTACAAAATGCCGTAACGAGATTCACTCGTTTGGGTCGGAAAGTCACAGAGAGAGTCACAGAGAGACAGAGAGAGAAAGAGTAGGAAAATTTGCGCCTAAACAAATTCGGCTGATCTAAAGGAAGTAATTTGTGGATCTTCGCCTGCACCCTACGATATAGCAGTCTGCTTTCTCGCAGCCTTGTTGACGATGTTATCTGGATTCGTACGGGTTCTATTTCGATCTCTTGGCTCGGATCGGTCTTCTTGACTCAAGGCAACAAACAGACCAGACCAGCAAATTCCAACAAGGCGCATCTTCCGCGTTCTGATCTCCGAACTCCGAACTCATCTGACTAACTCAAGCGTGCGGGCAGCTTATATAGAGAGAGGCGGAGCTAAACCATCTTTAGGCACCGCCCCCGAATTTTAATATGCAAATCGCCTGGACCACCATGTGTTTCCACCTAATCTCCGGATCTCCGGGGGCAACCAGTTTTCAAGAGGTACTAAAATCGGATTCAGACATCCTGCTGGATCTTCCGCAGACAAAGTATACTTAAATTTTGCCAAAACCACTTCTGGTTGAATTCCGCTATTCAGACCACCCAAAAATTCAATTTGCCATTTATTACAAACTTTGGTTTAACGAATCCGTTTCCTAATCACTTTGGAATTATTACATGTACTTAACTAATAACTCAACCCCAGAAACAATTATTAAGAGAGGAAAAAAAAAAAAATAAGACAAAAAAAATAAACTTACTTCTGGAATTACTCAGGAATCCCTTCTATCCAAGTAATTAGCACCTTCATCCTAATTCTTTAGCACTGTTGATTACTAAATCCATCTCGGGGTGGGGTGGGGGTCTCTGTCTATGTCACATATTCATAACATTAGAGTGAAATAACATTACATGGATATTACTAGTAACTTTTCTATTTGGCTAGTAAACGAAAATATTTATGTGTCAAAGGTCAACTAAATGTAAATTTGTCCGTAGAGCCCTGTATATATATATATATATATATATATATATATATATATATATATATATATGTGTGTGTGTGTGTGTGTGTGTGTGTGTGTGTGTGTGTGTGTGTGTGTGTGTGTACAAGTTTGATTAGCAATGACTGACAGGTTACAGCGGTTAAGTCATTTAACTGATTTTATTTAAATTTTTCTTGTATTCTTATAATTTTCTTATCGGAATTTTTTATTTTTCCAAAAACGGTCGGCCTTCCTATAACTCTACATACATACATAAAACACGCCATGCATTAAGTAAATGTAAAAAAAAAATCATCCCTGATAATTTCTAAAAGTATAGAAGCAAGTGCTTGTGCATACAAAGAATTTAGACAATTTCTACATAATTAATATCCAGAAAAGAAAAAAATTATAAGAACACAAGAAAATTCAATGAAAAAAACTTACTCGCAGTACGTTATCAGTCATTTCTAGTGAAACTTGTATGAAAGAGTTGTTGCAACCCAAATAGACAATAAGACACACACACAGATATTACTACGTTAATAAAACATCGAAAACCGAAAATAATAAATAAATATATAAAATAAAAAGTTAAAAGTAAAAAACAGGTAAAATAAATTAACCGAAATAAATAACTAAACAAGCCACTCTCGCTAAAATAACCACCAGAATGGATTACCCACAATGCACAACTGACCCATATATATAAATAATCGAGAAAAAATCCAGCACTCGCGGGCTGACGATTCCGTCTAACATGAAACAGCCTGTCACCTCTGAGTGTTAACTTCAATGTTCATTTTGATATGTTTGATTTTCATTTGCTCTATCTCTGATATTGAGCACATTATCTCATAGATATAGCACACCTTAAGACTATATTTCTTCATATTCTGCTCCTGATAAACAGTAGAGCACTTTCGCTACATTTATAACACATTATGGACATAGAAAAATTTAGCCTCAACTTCTTCCTAAAAAACACACCCATCCCACCCACATCCACATATAAGCTAAAATTACTTGAAAAAAAAACCAGAAAGCTTCATAAAGAGAATAAGATGGAAAGCCTATTTCCTTTTAAACCAGGACCTTCACAATAACACTACACCCAAAGATTCCACCATCTGATGCCAATTCAGTCGTGTTTCAATCTTAGCTAGAGGCAACTGGATGTCTAGCCACACTGATGAGCTGTGTTACAGCAAAATAGTCTCTCCGTGGATGACTACAATCATATATGATTTTATTTCTATATATAATTGTATTATTTTTTATTTATTTATATATATATATATATATATATATATATATATATATATATATATATTGGCATTGTGAATATTTCATTCAACAATTCTCTATAACTGGATTAAAATTCTTAAGCATATATATATATATATATATATATATATATGTGTGTGTGTATTAAGAATTTAATCCAGTAAGAGAGAATTAAAGAAAGAAAGAAAGAAAGTGAGGGATTAATTGTAAGACAAAAAAAAAAAAAAAACTGAAAAGAAATTAATGATGAATTTAAACTTCATGAACGTTGTGAATATTCAAGTAAAATCGGTGCCCGCAAACGC